CAAATCAATTATTTTATTTGCCATCTATTTCTAAGAACAAATTTCTTTTGCACAAATAAATTTTTGTTCATCTCTTTATACTTATTATTCAAATATGTCTCACTAAAAAAAGCAAATTTTTTGAGGAATTATGACCAGTACAGATACAGTGCTCTGGAACTTGCACCAAGTACTCCAATCATACAGATATCGAAGTAACAAATTTCGAAAATATATTAAAGCAACTAATTCCGCCAATTAGAAGATTAGTTTCTGATATACGATCAACACTTTTCCCAAATGTCCATCAATATTTTAAAAGAACCGAAGTAAATTTAATCCGACAGCATTATCTCACCTGTGCAAGCTTAACAAGTTCTTCATCGATCTTTGGTTTGTCATAAGAATTTGTCAAATTTACATAAATACTAGCCAAAGCATAGACACAAAGGGAACCAGCGCTCTGAAATAAGGCAAAAGTAAAAACATTGCAGTGCAAATACAGTAATTAACGCAAATGTTTGCAAAAACACAAAAAACTGTACGTGTAATGGAAAAATTTCCGCTACACCTAAAATGGAAAAATTCGTTTCTTTTAGACAATCATATTTTTAATAATTTCACAACATAAAAGCCGTACTTTTGCAAGACAAAGTAATGCCTGAAGGAGTAAAGAATCTTCAGCAATCCATTCTTTTACATCGGCATCCAACGTCAAATATGACAACCCTTCACATGCAAATCTAGAAAATTATTAGAAATATATGATGACATTATCACAAATATTTTTCGCTTCTAATATTTCTGTGGTAAGTGTTACATTTAAAATTTTCATTGGCTAATACAGGTATTAGAAAAAATTTGCAGTGGTCATTCTTCTTATTATCATTGGTAATAAGCTGTTTGATTATATTAGTAAAAGAACTTTAAGGTAAAAACAAATTTCCCAAAAATTGTTGAAAACATTTTTCATTACACATTTATTTCTCCCTCACCTTCGTACTTCCACCGAATAACGATTCACATCCAATAAGAATTTCTTGCATGTCTGCGCAAGTTTCAATGTGCTACCTTCTTGCATTGTTTGTTTAGCTGTATCATCACCTCCAGCTGAGGCGCACTTGCATAAGCCCACCAAAGCCCTTATTTTTACCATATCATCTTTTGAGTCGTACAGCTTCCGCAGAACTGGGATACCAAACTAAAAACCAATATCTTGATAAAATCTGTTTTTCTCTAAGCAGTCTTTCTTTCGTTTGTAAAATATGGTGCTGTGCTTTGAAATTTTTTGTTTTTTATTTTTTTTGGTACTCATTACCGAGGTAAAGCAATTCAGGATGCAAAATTGTCGTTGTGCGCCAAATACTACCGAAAGATCTACATATCTGCAGTCATGCCTTTTTATCCGATTTTCTTGATCTATGATCTGAAAGACAAGAACAAACCTTCAAAATGGTCGTTGCTCGTTCATGTTTACTAACGGTATGAACAATTAGCTCAGCAGCAGTGCTCTGCTGTAAATTATCATCGCTACTGGCCATTTCCAGCATCAGTGCTGTGATCTGATCATTTGTTACCAAATTTATACCAACATCGACAGGACCCTGAAAAATGACGTTAGTTTTACAAGAAAGTTTCGATTTGAGGAGATGGAAATTACCTAAACTTACTTAGACAAGTGACGAAATAATAGCAAAAAGCATATGCTGAAGATAAAAATATAAACAAGTGAAGAATTAAATGTCAAATAATTAAATTCATAAAGAAGCAAAAAATAACCTGCAGTAAGGTGATCAACATACATGCTAATTTCACTTTCACCTCCGGTTTAACTATATCATTAAGCAGATTGCTGAAAAATGATTAAAAGAAATGACATTGTCCCTATTCATAGGAATAAGTAAACAACAAAACAAATTTTCCATTAAAAATTAAGAAACGTTATATTTCATTTCGGATATGTCCCAATAAGTTCGTTATGTATTTACACTTAATGTTTTGTAAAATCTTACTTTATACGTTTTATATGACCTTATTAATTTACGCAACAAAAAATACGCAACAGTTGCAAAAAATTAACAGTTCCAATGCTTTCGTTCTGATGGAATAATACATTTAATTAGTTACTTGAAGAAAACATCCACTCTTTCTTTGAAAATTTGTCGTCGTGTATCGAAAACCATATCATCATATAGTCGTGTCAAACAAATCGCCAAATGCTGTCGGGTTTCAGCAGTAACCGGATAATCACACTGCTCCGGTAATTGGGTTGAAATATGCAGTAATTTAAGAAGACCTGTCAAACTCAATAATCAGAGATATGAAAATTAACATATTTTCTTGTTTATTTTATGTCAACATAATCTCTCATTTCTATGTTAAGTCTTGGGAAAACAACACATTGCATTGGTTAAAGAATATATAGTGCTGAAGAATAATTAGTTTATGTTGACCCAAAAAATATAAAAATGAACTTGAGTAATTTTTTTTCATATAAAAAACTGCTGAATTAGAATATACTCTCACTCATTACTTCTTATTTTCCACTGAAGATAATATCAGCATATCCCTGGTCAAGGTAATCTTTCAAAGCATATGATTTTTTGATGCTAAAATAACTTGATGAAGCAAGCAACCTCACATTGTTCAAAATGATCAATGTCCACAATCCAGTTACCAAATCACTGATATCATTGACTTACTTATAAATAACTTATAATTAGATGACACAATAGATTAGAAATTAACCTCGATCTTCGACAAATCTCCAGCTCCAACCACGTGGTAATCCACCGTCCATATGCATCAGATTTTTCAGCAGTAGATCAATGGTAATGTCACGTAGGGGTGCTGCTATATTTACATCAGTTAACATTTCTTCCAGTTCCAAAATTAAGCGTATAATATGTACTTTGTTGGCTGAAAAAGTTTGGATTTAAAAGGACATCAGAAGCTAGCGGCTAAGAAAATAGGCAGTAGATGAAATCTGAGATGAGCAAATAAAAAGTGATAAGCTTTCGAAAAGCAAGTCCATTTGTAAGCAAAACTTGCCTTCACAAATTTCAGGATCCGGTTTAATTTCTTTTTCTTGATTCATTTTAGCCAATGCATTGAACAAACGCTGGATGATAATACTACATGCATCGAAATATTGCGGATATGCACATTTTTCCATAAGTCGACATATTCTACGTATTCCCAAATTTTCCACAAGATGCATTACCTTAAATATTAGAAAATTTAAGGTAAAACAACCTATTTGTCAAATAAGAGCTACTGAGATCTTAGTTAAGAGGCGCCTTAGACGTGATAAATAACATACATAACTTCATTTCCAGAAATAGCTGACATCAAGCTACTGCATCAAGCTGTTCATATTTGATCTCGCATTATTTAAAAAATAAGCTGCACTAAAACACTAGACATCTTTGACTTCACTAAAAGTCCTTCATTTAAAAGTCTGCAAAGTAGATAAATTCGAAACTTCTGAAAAAACAATGAACATATAGAAAAGAATACTCGACTGCTACTTTTCACCAGTTCATCGAGAACTCGAGCTGCCGCTATAACAATAGCTTCATTTGTCGAATTGTCATCAATTATTTTCAGCAATGTTTCTACAATCTTACCATCATTCCAAACAAGTGATGCACCCGTTTCAGATTCTCGTGATAAAACCAACAAATTATTCATTGCCTTCAAGATAAGCGATACTTAAAAACCACTTTATCAGTTACAACATTTTACATTATTACTCAAAAACTTCCTGAACTGATTTAAGAATTATATCATTTTAAGGATAACAAACTAAGTGCTAACCAACGACCTTCAAAGTTTAGACTTACATGTTGCTGTAAATTTACTCATAAATTACCAATACTGGATAAAAAAAGAACAATTAACATACAGTGACTCTCTGTTCCATGTTGCCATCACTAAATGCAAGCTTATTCATGGCATTTACGCGATTTTCCATGCTCATTGCAGCTTTTTTCTTCTCCTCACTCAATTGCATCATTCGGTGTAGCATATCAATAACAGTGCTTAAAACGAAAATTTTTGATCTAATTTTTCACAATTTAATAAACAATTTGAGAATTTTAAAAAACTGCACGACTTGCATGTATTTATTCAATCTCTTCTTATTACCCTATCCATTGCTGCAGATAAAAAAAAGAAAAAAACAAACAAACCAGCTCCCTAATATCCAATAATGCATACTTTCTTATTCAATTCTTATGCATAGAACTTATTTCTTTAGCAGTTCTTATGAACAGAACATATTTTTTAAAACATAACTTGCAAGCGATAACTTAACTTCCTACTATTCTTCGTCAACAAGTAGTACTTGACCCAATTTTTTTTGATAAATTTGTTTACAGAGATCTCAGACTAATAAAGCCATATAATTACGCACATGTATTTAGCACCGTTCAACTTAAATTTTCTACAGTATTCAAGAATTAAATAAAATAACTGCCTATTTTTAGGTTCCAATTTCAACGCATTTCGAGCATCTACAATTGCCCCACTATAATTTTCCATCTTTTCACGTGCTAAAGCTCGTCTGTAAAGTGCTTTAGCATCGGCACCATCAAATTCCAATGCTACAAAAGAAAAACGAAAAAAAACTGTATATGAATTTTATAAACAAAAAAAAAAAACAATTTACAAATTTTCCCAAAAAAGGAAAATAGATGCCAAAAATTGTCACATAATATTTCGTCATGCAATGAAATATAATATTAAAAATAGGTACTTCCTAAAAAATGCTT